CTCTCAGGAATGCTGGAGGAAGATCTACAATTTGCTACCAACATGAAGATTTATGACCTGTGCTCTCATTCCAGGAGTGCAGCATGTAACTTTTGTGCCCTCATGTGAATACTGCATGTAGTGAAAATGATACCAAATGTCTTATGTAGAGCTAAAAAAGTGTATTTGGTAAATGACCCCTTGACCTAAACTGTCAGGAGAGAATGACTTGTGACTCTTACATTGTTTAGAGCAGTCTCAGAAATGATATAAAAGGATGCAGCTCAGATCGAGGAGGGCTTCGTGCTTGGGGAGATTCTGAGAAGACAAGAGCTAGTGTAAACTAACTCTTATTTAATCATTTTGAACTAATTTCTCCGTGGGGGATAGCAGTTGTTTTTCACTTTACCCATTTTTTGTATTTTGATTTTGTAATAAAACTTTTTTGAAAAAGAAACATAATCCTGATTCTTTCAGGTTTTCTCTAAAGCTTCACGTTTGGGGCCCTGGCCATAATTGCACAGAGGTAAGCATGTCGAAGATCGGTCTCTGAATTATCAGGACTTACTTTACAGTTTATAACAGAATAATATAAAGAAACCTTAAGATAAGGGAAGTTTTAACTTTCCCCTCCTTGCGAGTAACGAGTTGTCTTAAGGGCGATAAAAGCAAAATATTCGAGGTTATTTTGGCTCTGATTGCAGGTTGAAAAAGTCTCTAATCAGCTGGAAGGTTGGATTAATAAATAAATTGATAAAATTATGATAGCCTGATCAACTAGCATAAATCATTTTATAGTTACCAACCTCCCACATAAGCTGTTAGAGGCGCAATTAATTCCGGGTAATCCAAACAATTGCTGAGAGGCTTGGCTTGCCTTCAGACTTCTCTCTAGTATCTTAACCAAAAGGTAACGAGTTTAAAAGAAGTGTAATACTCTGGGGCTGGCTATTCGTGCAAGTCATTTCACCTTTAAAATAAAAGGCAAGATTCTAATTAGGTAGTCCAAACCCGGATCTAGTACGATTATACTCGTCGATACACCCCCGAACCCTGATGGATGCACCGTCTCATAAGTTCTAACGGAACTGGGTTTTAAAGGAACCGGTAAATGGGACGGGCACGCGACAAGTACACATGTAATCCCAAATAAACATGTTTAGAGATGCAACATAAACAAACAGACACATCACAGGTTTGCAGGTATATGTAGAAAGACAGTCATAATAAAGTTATTGACTGAAGAGAGTAATCTTTTTAGCAAATAATTTACATCAATCCTTGTTAGTATCATTATTCAACTTGTCAAAAATATATTTCAATATACCTGGGTGCCTCCATCACTATCAGATGAATTTGAAAGATCCTGCAGATCTGTGATGGAATCGCCTGAGTGACATCCATCTTCTTCATCTTCAAGAAGCCCCTTTTCCTTAGATGAGTGATCTGTTGAAGCTCCCTCTTTTGTACAAATGTAAAATCTGAGCAGCTTCAGTTTAGTTTGTTCATACATTTGGCCAATAGTGCTATCCAAGGGAATATTGTTCTTTTTAAAATCACAGATGCCAAATGTGAAGTCTTCAGCTGGTCCTTTTGTTGAGCGCCCATCAGGGAAAAACAGCTCCTTTCCTAATTCCATGATCTGAGCAACAGTTGTTTTTGCCAGTGTTGCATGTCTTGTGCCTCCACCACTGTTGGTCCGTACTTGACTGTATCCATTACTGCCAAAATGAAGCCATCCAATTTCAACCTTCCTTGAAGTCTTCTCTGCTGCCATATTTTTTTGTCTGGCCATGGTACATTGGGGTTCATCTGGTGTACCACTCACTGATCCTCTTGTCTTGGACTTCATCTTGCGTGCCCCTATTTTACATTTTAATCTCTGTAATAGAGTCTCTTTATTGGTGCTATGACACTGCGTTTGTTCACAGAAAGATAGGACAGCTACTCGGTCACCATATGACGTGATGTATTTTGACATTTGCTCATCAGTCATGATGCGCAATACTGCCTTGTCAACCTGCAGAGAGACAGAGAGAGAGAGAGAGAGAGAGAGAGAGAGAGAGAGAGAGAGAGAGAGAGAGAGAGAGAGAGAGAGAGAGAGAGAGAGAGAGAGAGAGAGAGAGAAATAATAGTTTCAATGCAGTGTTTCAGTGGTAACCTGCATCTGTAAACAGATGGGATCTTAGAGTACAGTACAAGTTTCCACATATTACCAGACAGAATGCTAGCTTTCTGCACACAAATCCCATTTTGTCTATTTCTAGGAATAAGAGCTGGTTTAGCCCTGCAAGGGACACATTTATTTATTCAAATGCATTAACTTACCGGTACTGACTATAGTGACAGATTCCCTTTTAACAGTTTTAAAAGCCCCTTCCATGAAACAATTTTGACTGGCAACCTGACACGTGCACTTTTATTAATTAAATAATTCCAATTCTCGCTAATCAATTTCCCTCTGGGATTAATAACGTATTTTTGAATTTTGAATTGAATTTGAATCTGCAGTTAATGTACAAATTATTTTGGCAGATGAGAATTCCAAGATTCAGCATCATTAAAAAAAATAAAAATACATACAAACATACAAAAACGCATCCAGGTAATCTCAACCTGAACAAAGCCAAAGGCTTACCTCACCATATCACCTTAAGCCACCTGTACGTGTAGGCGTTATTAATTTCTCTATTGTTATACTATAAACATACACTGGCTAATCTGATAATGTGATACTCTGTCGTTAATTTGGTAACGACGATACAGTTCTTATCAGTTTGCTGAGAATAGTCCGTGTGCGCATTACTTTTGTTCGTTGTTCAAATTTAATCGTATCATTGCCATCACTGGTATTAGGTACAGTAATTAGGCTATCAAGTGTGCCGTTCATAAACAAAAACGAAACGATTAAGATTTCAGCTAACCATACTAGTATTAGCTTATGATAGCATAGCATTACTGCTAACTTTGTTACCCACGAGTGTTCTTACATTTACACTGAATGAACGGCATGCTTACTCACCTTGTCTCTCTTCATCCGTGTAATATCATCCTTTGGGACCTCTCTACAAATTAAGAACTGCTCCAAATCATCCTCCATGCTTGCAACTGAGCGGCCCCACAGTAGATGGTGCTGCGTGACTGAGATGATGCTGCGTGACATTTTCTTCAGGTTCACGGTCACGGGGAACCTTTGAGAGATCTCGCAAAAAAGTATTGCGAGATCTCGCAAAAGTAATGCGAGATCTCGCAAAAGGTTTTGCGAGATCTCGCAATAGTTTTTTTTTCCCCTCCCATGTCCCTTTAGGGGCTCCGTAGGGAGGACAAATATACGATTCAAGTGTGGGGTCTTCAGCTGTACCAAAGGCAAATTACAAGTTTGCATGGTAAGCTTCACTTTTATGTTTCTTTTTAGACCTAACAGTGCTGTGAGCACATGTTTTAAGCTAGTAACAGGTTAAGCTAGTCACGTTTTTTAACACCTGTAAGTCATTGTGTGAAAACTTAGTTCGGCTGAAAATCACACACATGTGCTTGGTGTTCTAAAAATGATTACCTGTGTCTTTTGTAAAAAGAAACTTGAGACATTAAGAGGCTATGTTCTACATTGCAGAGTACATAGGAATGAGCCTCGTGGTCTTTTCAAGTGTATTGGCGCCAACTGTAATCAAACATTTACCACTTACTCAGCTTTCAGGGGTCATTTTTATCGTGTGCACAATGAACCCACACTGCATGCTACTTCCATTGTTGGAGATTTAAAATGCGCACTTGCATTATGCAACTGTAATTTCCACACTGTGAAAGAGCTAGTGTCTCACTTAAATGATCATATTGGAGAGGGTAGACCTGTGTCATGCCCAGTTCGTGGTTGTAAGCATATCTTTACAAAGAAGTCATCATTTACTTCTCACATGTGCAGGAAGCACAAAGCCAGCTCCCCTGATAGTATTGATGACATGTACAGAGAAACTTGTTCTCGGTCACAAAGTGTGATTGCCAATACAGATGACCAAACCATGGCAACATCAAGTGCAACAAGTGAGATTCTTGAAAATATGATTACCAGTACAGCTGATTTAGAAAACACACACAAAGCCATGGGAACACCAACTTCAACAAGTGAGATGTTAGAAAATGATAGTGAGTCTTATCTCCGAAACCTGTGTCTATTTTACCTTAAACTGCAAGGACAGCTGCTTATTCCTGCCTCTACCATACAAACTATTGTTGAGGAAATGCTGAATATTCACGAATTAGGTCAAACCTACACAATAACTAAGCTAAGTTCTTTGTTAAAAAAAGATATGAGCCTATCAGATGAAATGATCAATCAAATCTGTGAATGTGTTAAAGACTCAGATTTATTCTCTGCCTTTCACCAGGGACAGTTAAGAACAACATACAGCAGAAACCAGACCTTTACAAAAAGGTTTAAATACATAGAACCACGAAAGGTTCCATTAGGAATGGATGAAAACATGACACAAAAATATGCTTACTATATACCAGTATCAAAAACTCTGGAAAGCTTTTTACAGTCATGTTTATGGAGAAATACAGTCACAAGAGTTTAGAGATGCTGATGCAGACGTTTTTACTGATTTATATGATGGCAAAACATTCAAATGTCACCCGTTTTTTTATGAAAACCCTGAAAGCCTCAAGTTGATTTTGTACCAGGACTCATTTGAAATTGTGAACCCCCTGGGTTCTGCAAAGAAGAAGCACAAAGTTCTTGCTGTCTATCTTTCAGTGGCAAATTTACCCATACATATGCGTTCAAATACTGATAATATGTTTTTAGTATTGTTGTGCGTTGAAAAAGACCTTAAACTTTTTGGAATGGGCAAAGTATTCTCAGAGTTGCTGGCAGATCTGAAATCCTTGGAGACAGATGGAGTAAGTGTAGATGGTGAAAAAGTAAAAGGGGGTCTGTACTGCATTGCATGGGATAACTTGGGTTCTCATTGGATTGGTGGGTTTACAGAGAACTTCAGCCGCTCTCAATATTTTTGCAGGTACTGCGAAATCACAAGACGGGAGTTTGAGACTGATCCAAATGCCTGTGGTCCTCCACGCACCCCAGAGACATATGACGCTGCTGTTGCTGAACTTCAGGTTGAAAACATCCAAGAGGTTCGAGGTATAAAGGTAAACTCTGTCTTTAATACCCTTCAGTCTTTTCACGTATGTGAGCCTGGTCTGCCACCTTGTCTAGGTCATGACCTCTTTGAGGGAGTTGTGTCACAGGATCTAGCACTGTACCTGAAGAACATTGTGAAAAAGAAAAAATGGTTCACATACACACTCTTAAACAGGCGCATCAAACGGTTCAAATATAAAGGATCTGAAGCACTCACAAAGCCATGTGCTGTCAGCACTGATGGAGCCCGGTTGTCAGGGCAGGCCATTCAGAACTGGAATCTTTTGAGATTGTTACCAGTTTTGATTGGTGACAAAATTCAAAATCCTGAGGATGAAGTATGGCAGTTAGCTCTTCAGTTAAAAGACATTGTGGATCTTATTTGTGCTCAGAACATTTCTGTGTCCCAGATAGCATACCTTGACATTTTGATCCAAGAATATTTAGAGTCGAGGAAGATGTTGTTTCCTGAAACTCTACTTAAACCTAAGCACCATTTTTTGCGCCATTATCCAGCACTGTTATTAAAATTTGGTCCATTGATAAGGTTGTGGACGCTTAGATTCGAAAGTAAACACAGTTATTTTAAAAGGTGTGCCAGACACTTGAAAAACTTCAAAAACATTTGTCAGACATTGTCAGAGTGTCATCAGATGTATCATGCGTATCTTTTAGCTGGGCAAGAATACAGTCACCTGCAAGTGAAGGACAGCTGTGAGTTTTATCCCAACCTCTACAGTGATGCTATTAAACATGCAGTCAGGGAGTTTGCATTTTCAGAAAGCAATACCACAGTGGCCACACACATTCAGTACAAGGGCACAGCATATAAAAAAGGCCAGTTTCTTGTGTGCAGAAATGATGAGTACTTGGAGTTTGGTGAACTTCTACTCATCTTGATTCAACATGGTACAGCTGTGCATGTTATAATGGATATCCACAAAAGCACCTTCCTCTCAGAATATCATCTATATTCTGTGACAAAACACAGTCTTGGGTTAAAGTGTGTTAACATTAACAATCTGCCAGATTTTTATCCTTTGGTGTCATACATTCTTGATGGATACCAGGTCATTCCACTGAAACACAGTATTGGGGCAAAATAAAGTCAACTAGAAGTAGTAAACTGTAACTGTCTTAAAACTGTAAATAGTCTTAACATTAACTATTCAAGCTCTACTTGATGCATGCCCCTCCTATACTGTACTGTATATATTTTTTTCTGTTTTGTTCAAAGAAGACATTTATTTTTCAGTGCAAGTATGAGTGACTCGGAGCCCACCTTCCTACATGATGCCATTGTGGAAGTCCTCCCAGAACTTCCTGCTGTAACAAAGAACATCCTGGAAGAGCATTTACAGTGCATTGGGGTTGAGACATATGATGATCTATGCTTCATAGAGGAGGCTGATTTGATGACAACATTGAGACCTGTTCAAGCCAGAAAACTTCTTTCTGCTTGGAAAAGAAAATGTAAGTAAAAATGCCAAACAAGCTTTTTCTACATGCTTAAATAATCAGTTCAAAAGCACAACAGACCATTAAATTGTGTGTGTGTGTGTGTGTGTGTGTGTGTGTGTGTGTGTGTGTGTGTGTGTGTGTGTGTGTGTGTGTGTGTGTGTGTGTGTGTGTGTGTGTGTGTGTGTGTGTGTGTGTGTGTAGACAAGACTCCTGAGAGCAGCTCACCATCTGTGGAAGCCTGACCTGGCCGATCTCCGTCAATACTCTCTGTTTCACCCCGAAGTTCAACATCCTCAGGCAGCCAGGGATTTGGCACACAGTGGGAGGACAGTTTTGAAATTCCATGGAGTAAATTTCCAGAGGAAGTAATGGATTCTTTGGAAAGGGGAAAAAGGCCATCCCCAAAACTGAGGAGGCAGATGATTCGGATTGTAGCGACTGAAATGATGGGAAAATGCCCTCATGCAGGTAAAAAGAATTCAACCGAGGTTGCTAAAAAAATGGTGGCAAAATACCCCAAATCTTTGCAGGATGTAATAGAGGGAGATATTGTAGGCAAAGGCTACTACTCCCTTGTCAAACAGTTACAATACAGAATTGAAAACGCAAAGCGTACTTCAACACCTAAAATCAGAAAAAGGAAACATCAAACTGAGTCAGACGACACAGACGAGATCCCATTAGAAGAAAGAGCAGCAATGCAGGACACATATGGATGCATTAAATGGAATCCAAAATTTCTTCCCCGTGGAGAAACTCAACAGAGCCAGCAGCAAAAGTTGGAAAAACTCAAGGTGATGTTTCTACAAACTAATGTCAGTCCAGAGGAGATAAAATGTCTCATGAAGTCTACCTTTTACACGCAACGCCAACATGTCAACCAGGGTAAAAGTATTCAATACCTCAGAGAGGAGTGGCCATTTTGGTTTGATGAACTTGGCATGTCAGTGCACTTCAAGGAGCTTATTGGGAATAATCTCAAAGAAATGTTCACACGTAATTTGGATTTAAAGGGACAAAGGCTTCTCAACTACATGACTACTGTTTGTGCCAAGAAGAGTAAGAAGTTTCTTCAGACGTATGCAAGGCTGCAGAGGATGCGGGGACAGCAGAGTGGCTGCTCAGATGATGTTAAAGAGCTGGTCCTGCTTCTGCTCAGCTACTTTGATGAGAAGGAGGAGTCCTTGTTCTTCTATGTAGATAATACAAGTCTGCCAGAAGAGGTCCAACTAGAGCAAATGCCTTTGACACCAACCATCGTTGTCTGTGGTAAGTCTTTCATTTCTAATTATTTAAATAATTATGTTAATAGAATTTGTGGCGTGACTGTACTGCATGTCAATTTGTCCACAGGACAGTCCTGCTATTCCTCAAGAAGTTTCATGCTGAGTCTGGATCGGACCCTCGTCAACACGAACATCTCCTCCTTCATTTCTGCACTGTGCCTGATGTTTGGGAGCTACTACTGTTTCAACATCCATTACCCTTCTGAGCTGGCTTCAACTCTTGAGTTTCTTCAAAGGTGAGTAAAGCATGGTTGTCCTAAGTCTGAATAGGCTGGTGAAGGTCCTGTTATCTAGTAATCCAAAAGGGTTCAAATGAAGGCAACTGGACTTCTTTGGTTTCTTGAAGGCGTTTCTCTTCTCATCCAAGGAGCTTTGTCCATTCTATCTGGAATATGAGAGAGTCAAGCTTATAAGCTGTAGCTGTCTGTTGTTATTTAAGGAGTCGAAACTACTCTGGGTTAGGGATGCACCGATCAGGTTTTTTGCTGCCAATACCGATATCAAAGAATGCTGATCACTGATCACGTGGATTGGCCAGAAATTTTCTACAACATTAGAGTGCTACAAACTACATAATCTGGCAACAAAGGAAATGTAACCTAATCTAAAATGGTCTGTATTAGGGTTGTCACGGTGTGAAAATTTAACCTCACTGTTATTGTGACCAAAATTATCACGGTTTTCGGTATTATCGCGGTATTTTTTTTAAACGTGCTACTTTTTCCACACAATTAAATAAACCCTGTATGTCAGGAAATATTGTCCTCAGTTTGTGTCTGAAATTTGCCGAAAATGTGTTATTTTGTAATCATGTTGTTTATTTGTTTACATTTTTCCCCTTTAGTCTTTAAAATACCAATATTTGCCCATAACTTCTTATTTTTTGTCTGTTTGATGTCATCATTTTAAAAATATTGGATCAGATGATACTCAGTACTCAAGTAGCCTTCTAATCAGATACTTTTTACCCTTACTTGAGTAATAATCCCTGTATCAGGAAAATATTGTCCTCGGTTTGTGTCCTTCCAGTGAGCTTTGCAGATGTGGGAAAATGTCATCAGGCAGTAATCATTGTTAAATTCATAATTATTCTCGGAGAGAGACCAACTCTTATCTGCCCCTGGGAGCCCCGTAATGCATAGCGTCATTTCAACATGGCGGTGTCCGCGACACGGTTTATATGCAGGTAGCGGCGCTGCGGCTGCTTTATATAGCAACTCGTTGCGTTCTCCCTCAACCCAAATCCTCGGATCACGCGTTTTAGCTAAAGCACTAACGTTAGCTTGCCTTGTGTTGACTGTAGAGTTGTGGGTAATGGTCACGCAGATGTGTCATGAGATTTGAAGCGTTGCTGCCTTTCACAGACACTTTTTCTGCACATGCTACAAACAGGATAGCCGTCTTCTATAAACTCCCTCGGCATTCTTCAAATATCCAAAAGATGCCCGTATTTCCGACCTTGTCTTCTTTGAGGGATAATAAATGTCCTGAGCGCTGCCGTCTCTTCCTTTGGCCATTATTTCAGCTTTAGCTTCAAGAAAGTTTTGGTTGTAAACAACAAAGTGCGCATGTGCCACCGGCAACTTCAGCAGATGATACGGTGGCTGGTAAGGGTCACCGCGCCGACAACGCAGCCACGGTAAACCCACCAAGCTAATAGAGTTTTTTTAAAAACAAGACGGTTATTATTATTGTCAACTTTTTTTTTTTTACCGGGGTTTACTGCTACACTGGTTACCGTGACAACCCTACCTGATCTGTCTGCTTTGATCTATTTTGAAAACTCCGATCAAAACCGATAGGGGCGCTATCGGCCGATTACGATCAAATGCCGATCCATCGGTGCATCCCTACTCTGGGTATCCCACCTCTTTACCCTCTGATGAGTCACAATGACTCCCTCTCAATAGAGGCTAATGACTCATCGGGGTAGGGAGGAGGGTTACCCAGAGTAGTTTTGGCTCGTTAATAACAGACAGCTACAGCTTATAAGCTTGACTCATATTCCAGATAGAATGGACAAAGCTCCTTGGATGAGAAGAGAAACGTCCTCAAGAAACCAAAGAAGTCCTGTTGCCTTCATTTGAACCCTTTTGGTCTAAATCTGAATGTCCCTGTCAAGACTTGTTCTTGGACCTGGGCTCTGGGATTTTTGGGTACATCCACACTGACTCCACTCCATTCAGTCTGTAAGAAGAAGGGAAAGACCAGGAAATAGAAAAAAATTCTAATATGTAAGCAGCAGGCTGTTTGCGGACTTGTTGCTACAGTCTTTCTGCAGTTCACATTTGACTTTTCTAATCACATTGTCCTTGTTGAATCCATAATGTTGCCAATTGGTTGAAGTGTTTCTTCTAGAAACAAGCTTCTCCTCAACCAAATGTACTGCCACCAGTTTGTAGGTCACGCTTGCCTCCTGAGTGCTTCGGGCTGGACAGAGAGTGGTGGCAGGTAACAGTTGACAGCCGTGAGTGACACCGAGCATCCAAGTCAGAAATTGAGACCCAAGAACTGGCCCTAATCCGGGATTGAACCTGTGGCCCTTGGGTCTAGTCTTAGTCACTGTCTTAGACTCAGACTAGAACCAATTGGGCCCCCAAGTCTTGGACTTGGAGTTTTTCTTTATGTGAACTAATAAATTTAAATATTCACTATGCTCAATTTTGTTTTACAGGTGTTTTTTCTCCATTAACCCAGAAAAAGGAACCAAAGTAGAGAATAAGAACTCCAAGCGTCGTCTCAACGTGAACCCTCGAGTCCTCTCCCTGATACAGGAACTCTCCGATCACGAGTGGTGTGAAGCCTAAATACGGAGTGTCTCTGTGGATTCTTTGACAGTTGAAGAGGTCCAGCAAGTATTTTCCATTGTGTGCAGTTTTTTTTAAGACACCAGGTACTGCAATTTTTTTCTCTGGGCTGATCATTTCAAATAAGGCAAGTTTTCTTTGTGGACATTTGAGAAGTGGCCCAGCAAGTTTTTCCTTTGCGGACACTTTTTAGACACCAGATAACACATTATTTTTCTTTGGGTTGATCATTTCAAAAACAAGTTTTCTCTATGGGCTGTTCATATGAAAAGAGGTACTGCTAGTTTTTCCCCTTGTGGACATTTTATACACCAGGTACTGAAAAGTTTTTGTCTGGGCTGATCCTTTTAGAAAAGGCATGTTTTTCCTTTGTGGAATGTTCATTTGAGAATGGATACTGCAAATGTTTTCTTTTGTGGAGCTTTTTTGAGGACAAATACTGAAAGTTTTTGTTTTAAATCCACAATGTATATTATATTAATGGGGCATAAAATGTATTTTGTATATATTTTTGTTTAAAGTCCTGATAACACTTTAAGAATGCACACATACTTTAATTTTAATGAGTTATTGTTGTTGACTTGACACTTAAACTTATCTAAAGAGACTGAAAAACCTCTATTTCAAAACGCTAGTGTTCTGAAGTATTTCAAACTGGAACTCATAGGTGGAAAGCACAAAATGTAGCTTCTTTACATGTAATAACAAAAGACTTCATTGTTCAGACATGGTTGCAGTGATGACTGTTAAATAAATTTTCCAAAAGTGAAATGTTTCTCATCTTTTTCAGTATTTTGAATGTTTTATGAAAATGACAATAGTGGTAATTAGCAGGTTTTTAAAGTAACTTTCACAGTATAAATTGATTATTAACACAAAAGTACAACATTAAATTTGTGTATAAATTACAAAATAGCTTAATTTAATATACAAACATTTACAATGGTTTTACCAGTTAAAAATTGTTTTTTGTTCAATATTAGCCAGTGATTTTTGCAAGTATTTTATGCACAAAAGACGTCCATTACAGGTATTAAATACAGGAAAGAGTCTAATTGTGAACAACATTTCTATGCAAAATTTACATGTAATTTATGTACACTTTACAGATTTTAATGTGATTTCAGCTGTGATTTCAATCACTGTAAATTAATTTACACATTTTTTTGTAATTGTTTTTACTGTGTAGCTGTAACATTTACAGGAAAACTCTGGTAACTCCAGTTGCCAGCGATTTCCTGTAAAATTTACTTTTTTTTTTTTTACAGTGTACCTGACTGCTCTGGTTCAAGCTGCATGCAGGAAAAATGGCTGGCCTCTGGATCGTTCCACTCTGTACACAAAAGTGACCCCCTTCCGCAGCGAGGTTGAGGTCACTGACAGACCAAAAGAAGGTAACAAAAGACATTTATCCTTTCCCGCATGGTTAGTAGGTAGTTGTAAAACTAACAGTGGTATTGGCCTTAGGCTGCTTCGCATCTGGCCTGTATCTGGAGGGAGCAGACTGGGACATGGAGAAGGGCTGCTTGATGACAAGTAAAACAAAAGTTCAGGTTGTTGAACTTCCCATTCTCAAAATCATCCCCATAAAGACACACTGTCTTGGACTGGAGGTATGGACACCCACACTGCTCTACACATTTATTTTATTGGGGATATTCCTCTGTGACTGTCTTCATTCCTACCAGGATACATTGAGGACACCAGTTTACACCACATCAACCCGCAGGAATGAAATGGGTGTGGGGCTGGTGTTTGAGGCTGATCTGTGTACCAACATGGACATCTCAGACTGGGTCCTTCAGGGAGTGTGTTTGTGCCTCAACACAGACATGTAATCTTGTGTGTGTTCCTATTACACTTTTAAATGTGTGTTTGTGCCTCAGCACAGAAATGTAATGTTGGGTGTGTGTTCTTGTTAAACTTTTAAATGTGTGTTTGTGCCTCAGCACAGAAATGTAATGTTGGGTGTGTGTTCTTATTAAACTTTTAAATGTGTGTTTGTGCCTCAGCACAGAAATGTAATGTTGGGTGTGTGTTCTTATTAAACTTTTAAATGTGTGTTTGTGCCTCAACACAGAAATGTAATGTTGGGTGTGTGTTCTTGTTAAACTTTTAAATGTGTGTTTGTGCCTCAGCACAGAAATGCAAGGGGACCAAGAGGGAGAAGAGGCAGCAGAACATGAACAAGAGGAGCCACAAGCATCTACTGTTTGGAGGTTCTTTGAAGAACGGGCAACTGGAGACACTACAAGAAGGAATCCCTCAGCAGATGCAATACTCGAAGTGAGGTCATATCTGGAGCAGCCCCTTTTCCAGAGAGGTGCAGACCCACTGAGCTGGTGGGAGACCAAGGGTCTAGGCTACCCACGTCTTACACATGTTATGGCACGGAGACTGTATTGTAGCAACATCTGTACCCTCAGAGAGAATCTTCTCCAAAGCAGGGCAGATAACAGAAAGAAGAAACAAGTTTAGCCCCTCAAAGCTGAGGCATTTGGTGTTTCTGAATGCTAATCTTCACTAAAGATTTTGTTGACATTCTGTGAGTTTGTTCAGGTTGCTTTAATTTAAATAGTTGTTGCACATGTGCAACCAGTGAATATTCTGTTTTGTTTGGGTTTGTTAAAACGCAGAGTCCTGGATGGGCTGGCTTTTTTATAGCCTTCTTTTGCACTTATTTTTGTAACTAATTAAGTTGAGATTTCTTAAAGTGTTCAGTTAATAAATCCATATAAATGATAAACATTTGATATATTGCATTTTTTTAAATTAATAAATCATTTTACATATAGTTTTGCATTATTTTTGGTGATAAATATACTTTATGCAACAGAAAATCTAAGGAGCCACTTGGGAGCCGAAAGAGCCGGCTCTTTTTGGTGAGCTGAGCCAAAAGAACCGGCTCTCTAAAAAGAGCCGGAATTCCCATCACTACCCCCAAGTCTGTTCCTCTTTCCTTGTGACAGCTCCACTGTCTGTGAGCTTCTGATTGTCCTCTGTGTTGGCCTGGGACGTAATTTTTGGGGGGGGGACGGGTGGGACATGTCCCCCCCACTTTTTCAAAAGGCAGTTTTGGTCCCCTGCACTTTTTTCCGTCCAAAAACAATGTTACGCTCCATTAAATGGATTTGGTTGAGCACTAGGACCGAAACGGAAACCGGTTTACTATTAGACCCGCCCAAAAGCTAATCTATTGGCTCTGCTGATACTTGCTAACGTATTATTGGCTGTTGCTGCTGTCACTCAAGTTGTAAACAGTCAGAACGTGCTCACGTTGTTTTGCTAGTTTGGAGCCGCTAGGGAACACCGGTACTGAGTCACATCGTCAACTAGACGCTGTGTAATATCAGAGCTCAGCTCAGCTTCCATTACATAACATTTGAATAAGTCTTCATTTGTGAGTCTTTGGTAGTTAGGCACAGCCAGGAGGCAGCATGTCAAGAAAACGAAAAGTGGATATAAGAGACTTCTTTCAAAGTCAAAACGTAAGTTGGAACATGTGACACCCCTGCATTAAGCTCAGACTCACCTCCTCCTTCACACACATACTCAAAACTAACTTTTACAAACTCATCTCCTCCACATAACTGACTCCTCAGACACAATTTATTCGTATTATTATAATAATTATTTTTTTTATTATTACTATTATCATCATAATTATTATTACTAGTAGTAGTAGAAGTGTAACTTCAAAACTTTTATCATTTAACTTTATTGTAAACTTATCTATTGCAATGTATATTTTCACATTAAAAAGCTCTGAAAAATGAACAGTATCATCATCGTCAACAGATTTTTTTAAGCTTAATGTCAAAGATGTACACTTTTCATTAGATTTATCTTATTTTTTCCATTTATTTTTTGTGTGTTGAAATGCAACAACTGTTTAAACACTTTTAAGGGAAAAAACATATTTAATATGTTTTTATACACTCAAATGTTAGGGTGATGATCATGTGTAAAACATTAGTTCAGCATGTCCTCTAACACAGCAAATGAACAAACGGCCAGATCTCAGGAGGGACCGTTTATGTATAAATAATTTTTATACTTTTGACTAGGCCTGGGAAAGTAACAAATTTTGCTGGACGATATTTTGTCCAACAAATTGTTGATGATAAACGATATTGTCAACATTATCTAGACCAAAATAACCACTAATATAATGTTAATATATCATAATAATGCAAGTACACCCTTTAAAATGCAACAAATAAACCTTCATTTAACATTGAAATGTCCAGAACCAGAACTTCTAAATGAATACAAATAACAAACAAAAATTAAATAAAAAAGGAATCTCACTCCCTGTTAGAAAATGTTGCACCAAAAACAATAAAAAAAGACCCAAAACAATAAATACAATGACCTATCCATTGTCAACAGCCAACACTGCACTTCAATAATGATAATAAATAAAAATAATAATAGAGTTGTACATTTTTTAACTCTGATATATATATATATATTGAGGATGGAAAAATTATTGAGATGGGCACGTGACGTGTCAAGGGGTCTTTACATAACACCCCCCACCCCAAATCCGCACAAGCCTGCTGTGTCCCCCCCACTTCTGAAATCAAAATTTCGTCCCTGTGTTGGCCCCTCCTTTTATAGGCTCCATTCACCGTATACAGGTGAATCCCTAATTAGGCCTCATTATAGCTCCAATTGGCTTCTAAATTTTATTTTGGGCTCAGGAGAGTTTAAATTTAGTTGTAGGGTGTCCAAATTATTAGGATCAGGTAGGGTTCAAAGGTCAGGGTAGGGGAGGGTATTTTTAGGGTTAGGATGGGTTAGTGGGTAGGGATGTATTAATTTAGATAGGGCTGTAGAAGTTAAGATTATTTCATCAAGTAGGACCTGTGGTTAGCTGGCTCATGTAAAACATGTCATGTCTTGAAAGAATCGGAATCAGGAATCGATAGGAACCGGAATCGAAAAATCAAACGATGCCCAACCCTAGTAGCAGGCGCGTTGCAAGCTTTTCAGAAGTGTGGGGGATGTTGGCTGTGCCTAAAATAATTATGTTAATCATCTTGTTAGTTTAATTTCCATAATAATTGAGCACGTGGGAACTTTAGACGTGTCACGCATGTCTCCGTTTAAAACATGTTTAAACTGTTCAGAATACAAATCCAGGCTCTGTCTCGTTAGATTGGTGCAACTAAAGTTTGTACTGAATGAAACTTTACATTAAACCATGTTGAAAAGGTAACAAAAGGATCCGATTTTACAGTCACGAAGTACAGCGCAGTGCACACGGCTCTGGGGTTAATCAAGTTTAATTGTTTCTCTTTGCAACAATCTTCACAAGAAGGCAAAACAGTTAAATGGCAGGTTACAGAAATTTCCATGTGACTGTTTATTTTGACGGATAAACTCAAGGATGCTGTTATGAAAGAATTGCCCCAACGCACACTGATACAGATGAGCTGACATTAAAATCGTTACGCACATCGTGGAGGTAACTCAAGAAAAGATTCCCATCAGAACATCAGAGCTTTATACTGGACACTGTGCTCAGCGCAGCTCGCAGCGCACACGGTGGACAGTGAGCTGAAGATCTGTAGAGGGGTTTGCAGCGCAGCACAGAACCACGGTGCATGTGGTAAGATTTCCTCCCACTGAAGCGGTCTGGAAACCCGGTCTCTCTGAGGGATGTGTCACTTGGAAAAATGTTCTCCGATTATGAAACATTGGCTGCATAGCGCTTGTTCCCATGACGCATCCAGTCTGTCTGAGGCAGAATAGCCTCTTCAGCTCAGAAAGCACCTCTAGAGACATTTGATCACGCACAAAGTTTATGTGGAGCAGAAGCGGTTGGGCCACGGCAGGTGAAATGTTCCTAGCCTACATGAGGTGAAATTGTTGAATTAATAATAATAATAATAATAATAATGCATTGAACTTATATAGCGCTTTTCTAGACACCCAAAGACGCTTTCCACACACTCTCACATTCACACACTGCTAGTGACGGTAAGAATACACAAACACAGAGACTCAAAATCCCGGAGCAGTTTCCAAGCCATGCCAAGGCTTTACTGAGGCCTTTCCATGCAGCTAGCTCTGCGGTCACGTGGGTCTGATGCTCGTTAATTATACAGAATTTTAGGCTTTTAATACACTTAAACAGAAGAGTGAGAAAAAAATTCACCCCCCTCAGAGTTGTCATGAGTGTAAACTAGATCATTTAAACAAAAAACATGTTTTGGTACCAGGCTGTAAACATGTTTATTTCTGCTGTGAAATTGGTATTTTTAACATGGGAGTCAATAAGGATTTGCTAGCTTCTGACACCAGCCCCCAGCGGATGAGGGTGGAACTGCAATTTTTGGTACTTCCGGGTTGAGACCAATTTTAGAGCCGCATTGTGGGGGCTTGGATTGAACATAATACCAAACATTGTCAGTGAATAATATAGTTTGGGAAGACAGCAGGAATAGAGGATTGAGAGAATGAGAGAATACTGCCCTTAACCTGATCAAAACCCGAATATTGGCTGCATGTAAATGTAGTGACTGTTACATGTATTCTATCACTGTGTTGTAAAAATGGTTTCTTATGCTCTGATATTTCAGATTAGCACTTTATAAAGGCTAGCGGTGAGCTGCCAGACCCAGCAACCCTCAACCCGACTGCTGTCTACACTGACTGTCTTTGACCCTGACTCTCTTCCACTGATCTGTTCAATGAATATCTCACCTGACAAACCCCTTGTGGACTCCATCTTTGGTAAAGTACAGGCTGGCAGCATTCTATCCTACCAACATCCACCTCCTACATCTGATTGCGTTATCGCCCACATGGATGCCCCACTGTTTCCAAAGTGCCACTTGAAGACTATCACCTAAAGCCAACGGACTGTAAATATGTGCCAACAGAACAAGAACAGCTGCCTTTGCAATCACTGTCCGTAACAAAGTCACAGTCACACAACATTGAAGAATCCACACGAAACCAGAGTGCAGCACCTGAGTGGCATTCATTGAGGAAGGAGAGGGTGACAGCTTCCACTTTTAGGGAGGTAAGCCACGTTAGAGGTGCATCCACAGCTGAAAACCTGGCAGAGAGGATCATCCGAGGAACACGTCAAACAGCACTCATGAAGAGAGGACTGGACCTGGAGATGGATGCCTTGAGGGACTATGCAAAACTTAAAAACCTAAACTGTGGACTGGTAATTCATCCAGATGCACCATGGCTGGGTGCATCCCCTGATGGGCTAGTGTTTGACCCATATGAGAGGCCACCATTTGGGTTAGTTGAAATGAAATGCCCAAATGCAGTTACATCAGTTATTCATGACATGCACAAACTAAAGGAGTCATTCTTATCATTCGCAAGTGCAGGGACAGTTGCTGATCACTGGTATGGAGTGGTGGGATTTTGTTGTTTGTGCCAATGATGACGTTTGTGCAGCGCATCTACAGAGACACACCTGTGTTAAATACCCTGCGTGTGGCGCCGAGGGCACTTGTCAGGATGACCCTCATGCGCTCCGGAGGAAAAGTAATACTGAGGAGGCCGTTGTCCAGTGCAAACCCAAGTTTATTTGATTTACATTGTACAAAATTAAAATCTAGGCAGCACAAATCCATGCCTGCCGCTTCATCCAACACTCAACTCTCAACTCCCTCCAACAAACACAGAGCTGTATTTATAACGGGTGTGACTAATTGGATTAGTCCTAAAACCCAGACACAGGCAAGTACAAAAAATACAATCTTTCAATACTCTTAAATGATCCTTAAATCATCATCTCTAAGATCTCCTTAATTACAATACAAAAATAGAAACATCCTTAATCAATCCTAAAAACATTCAATGAAACTAATCTGCCTTCCTAGAGCAATTTCTCAGGTTACCCCTCCCATTCCTACTGAATGGAATGTTCCGGAACTTTATTTAGGTGCTCCAGTTCCCCGGGGACTCTTTTAGATGGAACACTTCCAGAAGCACAAGGGAAACAGGTAAATACAAACATTCAGTCATTTATTTACCACTTTAAATCCTCAATATTCATACCAACTCTTCTTCCAGGTCCAAATGCTTCACCCCTTCCAAATAAACATTAAAACAATCATTGAGCCTGGTTTCATTTATCCTTCAGTCATAGCAAAAGCCTGTGTAATGGACTTGCTACATTACACTGCGGCACAGATACGATTTATTTTTCTTTTATACATATTTGCCAAAATTTCTCTCTGTGTCGCTAATCAAAAAGCTTAACCTGGAGCTGGATGAATGAATTCATGATGCATTGTTTAGTTTTGATAGTTAATGTGATTCCATTCAAATATTTGTTTCAAAACAAATAACACATTAAATATGCACATTTGTTTTTTACAATTCAATGCATCACACATACTTTGTTACATTTAAAATCACATTTGACTACTGAGGGCCTGTTTTTCTAACATTAAAGTTAATCCATGCACACACATCTGTTTCTGGTGTTTTAACTATTTCCATTCCACGCATTTAGGACGGGGGTGGGCAATTCTGGTCCTGGAGGGCCGCTATCCAGCAAGTTTAAGTTGTTTCTCTGCCTAAACACACATGGTTTCAATCTGCTGGTGATTAACAGGCTGCTGCAGAGCCTGATGAGCTGCCAAACAGGTGGTTCATCCAGGAATCAGGTGTGTTGGGAGCAGGTAAACGACTAAAACCTGCTGGATAGCGGCCCTCAAGGACTAGGATTGCCCATCTCTGATTCAGCAGGCATGTGAAGTTTTAGTGCAATACATCCATACTTTTAGCTGCTCCTTGCCCATGCTTTGACTAAGGGTCCATTTTGGTAGTTAACCAAGAGACAGGACACTGTGTACAGCTGATTGATGCTGCCTGTGAGGGAAATGGGGATTACCGTGCTAAATATTTTGTGCTCCTTAACCCTTCCAATGATTCGCTCTACGTGCACTCTCAGCCTTGCAACAGACTGTGTCTGTCTGACCTCTGCCCCAGACAGTTGTTCTCGCTTTGACAAAAAGGCAGGAATGTAGACCTTGCAGGGGACACAATCCTCCACAAGGAAATCCTTATCAACCATGATGGCTGCTGTTGGTTTTAGGAGGGAAACAATGCCAGACTGCTTCAGGATCTCTTTGTCACTGATGGAACCTTCATGCAGAGATGACACAAAGGTTATTGCCATACCAATCAGCCCTTTGAAGGTGCAGTGTGATTTGTATGCAGAGAACACCTCACTCTGCAGAAGAGAGTTTGGTGTTTGGCACCGCAGCTCTGTGCAATCCAGCACCACTTGAGTGTTTGAGTAGTTCTTAAACACATCTGGTAGGTGGGCCTTCACTTCATCCTCAGACATCCAAATGCCTACATCTCCAAGCACAGTGTATAGAAAGTTAGCCCAAGTACTGATGATGCGGCTCACAGTTGACTGATGAATTTTGAATCTGTGGGCCAAATCCTTTTGCAGCAGACCCAAAGACAAATATGTCAGGAACAGGAACATTTCATCAATAGGTTTAAGGGCCTATGAAAGAACAGAAATACAGAACAATAATATAAATGTTCATTCAGAGATAACATAACTCACAGTTGTGCTGGTGGTGGGCAGAGGGACTGGTGGCGCCAGTGTTCAGCAGCCTCGCCTCTGACAGTGTGACCCAGGGCAGCTGTGGCTACATTGTAGCTCATCATGGCCAGCATGCAAATATGTGTGCGAATGGGTGAATGAATGACTGCATTGTGAAGTGCTTTGGATTGTTGTAGAACCCTAAGAACGTGCTATACAAATGCAGGCCATTTACTATCTAATTAGATTAATTTTGAATAAATAGTATAACATTTCTATAACATTGTACACAAAGATCCAATCCAATTTTATTTATAAAGCGCATTCACAAGGCATTACAACCAGACAAGGCGCTGTACACTAAAAATGTTGGTTAATTAAACAGGCGTTATATAAACATGTCGAACACAGATAAAAGATAAAAAGGAAATACAACAAAATTCCCAAAAATAACAGCTAAAAATCAATAAGACACAGGGTGAAGTAAAAGGAAAAAACATTTTACAAAGAACCTCAATAATACGGAAGTCGATAATTGTGGAGTCAGTTTATAAACAGTGCAGATGTCAGTGAGGTTCATAATTATGTTGTATAAGCTACGTTGAAGTAGTGAGTTTTCAGGCGTGATTTAAAAATGCTAGCTGTTGGTGCTTGTCTCACTAGCAGTGGTAATGCGTTCCACAGCTTCGGTGCACAGACAGAGAAAGCCCTCTCTCCACGGCTTTTTAAACGTGCATTGGGAACAGCTAGGAGGAGCTTATCTTCAGACCTGAGAGCACGCGGCGGGTTGTAGTAATGGACAAGTTCACACAGATATGGAGGAGCTTGATGGTTCAAGGATTTGTAAGTGAGAAGCATATTTTTGAAGTTTATCCTGAACTGCACGGGCAACCAGTGGAGAGATTTCAGAATTGGAGAAATGTGTTGTCTTCTGTCAGCTCCAGTCAGGAACCTAGCTGCAGAATTCTGGACCAGCTGAAGTCTAGAAAGAGCTGCTTTACTGATGCCATATAAGCAGGAGTTGGAGTAATCCAGCATTGACGTGATAAAAGTGTGGACCACCGATTTCAGAAGACGTACACTCAGGATGTGCTTTAGTTTTGAGATGCGTCTTAGTTGGTAAAAACATGATTTAACTGTGTTATTGACCTGGGCATCCATCTTCAGAGCCTGGTCCATTTTTACTCCAAGGTTGGAGATTACAGAGGATACATTAGGTGAGAGATAGTTGAGGTCAGGTTGTTGAGTTGCCGTGATACTGTTAGGACTGAAAACGATTAAAGAGCAAGTCACCCCTAAATCAACTATTTTTTTCTTATAAACTATATAAATGCGTGTCTAATCGTGCTGCAGACACGTGTAGTCAATAGTTTTGCACTTTAGTGCATGTTAGTTAAAATTTAAATTTTCTGCCTGAAACTGGCAGTGTTGTGCCGTTGACAGGTAAAAAACTCTTCACTGCATTTGAATTTAAATCTGCCACCGCTATTGGCTAAGAGGTATGCTATGATGTAAACTGGTACATTATGATGTCACAATGTCGTGAGTGTGTGTATTTGTTAGTGGCTCCACCCTCTCGGTCTGCTAGGCAACAGCATTTGTTGCATTTTTCAAACATGAAGTGGGAGTGAAGTACGCTTCTTGTAAGGGATGACTTGCTCTTTAAGTCAGTTTTGGAGTCATTGAGATGGAGGAAGTTGTCAGCTAGCCATTGCTTGACCGCAAGGATACAATCAGACAGAACTTACGTTGACTGAGTTGGCTTAAATGAAAAGTAGATTTGACAGTCGTCAGCGTAAAGATGGTATGAGACAGCGTGCTTTCTGAAAATGGCTCCTAAGGGCAGTATATAGAGGTTGAACAGTAACGGGCCGAGAATTGAACCTTGTGGGACACCCCAACGTAGAGGCTGTGACTCTGATGAACAGCCGTCCAACATGACCCTAGCAGACCTGTTACAAAAGTATGACCTAAACCAATCCAGGGCAGTGCCTGAAATGCCAGCCCAAGTGTGAAGTCTTGTGATCAAAATGTCATGATCGATCGTGTCGAATGCTGCAGATAGATCCAAAAGTACCAGAACCACATGGAAACCTGAATCTAAAGCCAGAAAAATGTCATTAAACACCCGAACGTGCTGTGCTGTTGTCTAAAAACCAGACTGACCGGTGTCCATTACCTGATATTCATTTAGATGTTTCATCAACTGTGCATAGACTATTTTCTCAAGGACCTTAGATAAAAACGGTAATTTGGAAATTGGTCGTAGATTAGAGTAATCGGTGGGATCGAGGCCGGGTTTTTTCAAGATTGGTTGTAGAACAGCGTGTTTAAAGGCACGAGGAACTTCAGCCAATGTTAAGCTACAATTTACAATGCGTAGCACGTTATTGCTAATTAAAGAAAACACCTCTTTCAGGAGTCGAGGTGGGATAACATCATCTGGGGAGCCAGAGGGTTTCATGGCTGCAACAGATTTTTCTAGACAGGCCAAAGAGATGGGCTGAAAGCTTTGAAGTTGCCCGTGAGAGGGGATAAATGAATCTGGAACATGGTTGGTTTGGTGAATCTGAGCTCTGATTACAGTAATCTTATTTAAGAAAAACTGCAGGATTTGGCTACACAAGTCAGCGGACACAGAGGAAAATAGATTTTGAACTGGGGAAAGCACTGCATTTATGGTTTTATATAACACACCTTGATTGTTTGAATTAGCCGTGACAATGCTGGCAAAAAATCGATTTCTCGCTCCTCTGACTACTTTTTGATACTGAGACCAAGCCTCTCTCATGGCCTCAAAGGATACAGTAAGCCTGTCTTTTACCCATTTACGTTCCAGTCTCCTGCAATTTCGTCTCATGGAACGAGTTTGTTCGTTCAGCCATGGGTCTGACTTGGATTTCTTTCGACTTGATTTTAATGGAGCGACAATATCCATAGCAGCCAGGCAGGATGAATCAAGCACATGAAGTGATCCCTCAACTACAGAAGACGTAACAGTAGAATCATATGGAGCTGCATTCAGAGTAAGAACAGCGGCAAAATCTGCAGCAGTATTGGGTGTGATTACACGAGAGAAGCTGGGACGGAAATATTCAATACGAGGGGCATAGTCCAATTTCAAGTTAAACAAAACTGGTGAGTGATCTGAAAAAGTTGCAGGTAAAATGCCAAGATCACAAATTTCCAGCTCATGACAGAAAACCAGGTCAAGTGTGTGTGTATGCCCATGTGTGGGGCCATTAACACGTTGGGAGAAGCTAATAGGCCTTTTCCACCGACCAAACTGGCATGGAATGGGAAGGATCGGGTCACTAAATATTCTTTTTCGATTGTTTAAACCAGTCCAGGAAACTACCCGAACCGGTCCAGTAGCGGGCCAGAGCGGGACCCCTTCTGTTGTGGGTCCAGAGATTTTTGGTCTGGGCGGAGCCAAAGCGTAAAAGGTCCAGAGTCCTCTGATTGGGGGAGAAATTACGTAACTACCCGCGACAATCCCAGGGGATGGAAAAAGAAGTGAGTCGAGTTCCAGTGTTTGTTTGGCTGTACTTCTTGTGTGTGAAAATGCCTGCAAGTAATAGCTTTTGGTCCAATGCGGAGCTTCAAACGTTCCTCACCATCATCGGAGACAGCAACATTCAGGCCGAGCTGGATGGGATGATGAGAAAGTCTTCAAAGAAGTTTCTCAGCGCATGGCAGCTGAAGGATTCCAGCGCACCTCCGAGCAGTGTCGTGCTAAGCTGAAAAAAAATAAAAGCCCACTACAGAAAAGTTAAGGACAGCAACGGCCGTAGTGGGAATGGGCGAAGTACATGGAAGTGGTACGATGTGGTGGACGCTATTTATGGACACAGACCGTCAAACCGAGGCAGCGAAGGAGGCCTGGACTCAGCGACCAGTATCCTGGAGTCACTCATAAACCCTGTTGGTAAGCATTTCTTTTGTTGTCTTTTTAGCTCTGCAGGCCATTCATTGCAGCACCAAAAACACTGAATAATAGCAGCAGCTATTTAAGAAATGCTCAGCAAGTAAAGGATTTAGCCCCTCATGTTAACTAGCCTTAGCATCCCCTCGTGTTTATGCTAACCTTCATTTAGCATTCCCCCGTGTTTCTTAACACGCTGTTCGCGATATAAGCCTTTCATGTTTAGCATGTCCTTGTTGAGTACATGAGGCTGGAGCGGAGTTTGCATATTTCTTGTTAGCGTCTCATTGTTTAAAACATGGGAAATTCGGTTAGCCTTTCACGTTAGCATCTCAGTGTTGTTAGCATCTCATTGTTTTATACAGCTGAGCACGCACAGTGAGAAGAAGCGAGCTGATCTAATATTATAAATATCCCAAAAGTCGTGCCAGCAGTGTTTTTCGCCTAGAGTGGACTTTTAACAAGTACAGGTGCTGGCCAGTAAATTAGAATATCATCAAAAGGTTGAAAATATTTCAGTAATTCCATTCAAAACGTGAAACTTGTACATTATATTCATGCAATGCACACAGACCAATGTATTTCCAATGTTCATTACATTTAAATTTGATATTCATAAGTGACAACTAATGAAAACTCCAAATTTGGTATCTCAAAAAATTAGAATATTCTGAAAAGGCTGAATATAGAAGACACCTGCTGCCACTCTAATCAGCTGATTTACTCAAAACACCTGCAAAGGCCTTTAAAAGGTCCCTCAGTCTTGTTTTGAAGGCACCACAATCATGGGGAAGACTTCTGACTTAACAGCTGTCCAAAAGACAATCATTGACACCTTGCACAAGGAGGGCAAGACACAAAAGGTGATTGCTAAAGAAGCTGGCTGTTCGCAGAGCTCTGTGTCCAAGCACATTAACAGACAGGCGAAGGGACGGAAAAAATGTGGTAGAAAAAAGTGTACAAGCTCTAGGGATAACCGCACCCTGCAGAGAATTGTGACGACAAACCCATTCAAAAATGTGGGGGAGATCCA